CTCTTTTTTTTTTTTTTTTTTTTTTTTTTTTTTGTGATGCTGGGGATTGAACCCAGGGCTTTGTGCATGCTAGGCAAGCAAGCACTCTACCAACTGAGCTATATCCCCAGCCCTCTGATCTCCTTCTTAACCTCCCAGGCTTGACTTAAGCTTCCTGAGTACTCCCCCCACCCCCACCAATCCCCTTTTAGGATTCCTCACCTCTCAGAATCTACTAATAAGTGGGCTCCTCCCTGGCCAGAACCCCCATGGTAACCATATAAGGTGTGTCAGCTGCCATCTGAAGCAGGGGAGGGAACAGATCAGGAAGCCAAGGGCAGCTGCTAAGTTTAGGGTGGCTCCTTCTCCCTTCTTAGAGACAACAGGTGGTAGGCCCCGGTGCCCAGAAAAGAAAATGTCTTAGAGGCATTGGCATGGGGCTGGAGGAGGGGGGAAGGGCAGAGGCACCTTCCTCAGGACATCAGGTCCTAAAGAAGGAGGAAGAGTATGAAATGGGTATCCTTCCAAACCTGGGGCTTCCTCTACCACTATTTCCCCAGACATCCATCCATTGCATGGTGGGAACTGGGCACTGAGGCCTAGAGGTCTGGGAAAGGTCAGTCAGCCAAGGAGGTTCTTGCCTAGAACGAAGAAAGAAGCCACTGGCCATTCCAGTTGCCTAGGAGGAAATGAAAGTGGTAGGCAGCTTCCCTCTTGGTTTCTTTGACTCCCCTCCTCTGAGGACCAGCCTCTACACAGGTACCCAGAAAAATGATCTAGAGTCATACTAGACCACATCCTTCTGCTTCAAATCTTTCCATGCTCTCCAGGCTCTCCATTATTACCTGGCATTGAAGGTCCTCCAGTGCCTGGTCACCAACTCCTTGCATCCTCTGTATAACCTCATAACAACTGTGGCAACCTGAACATCTGATCTTTCACTGTCCAGGCCTTTGCCCATGGCATGTCTCCTGTCTAGCCTGCCTACCCTTCCACTTTCACCTGACTTGCTTCCTCTGGCCTTTAGTAAGCCATTCCTATACTCTTTTTTTTTTTTTTTTTTTTTAAGAGAGAGTGAGAGAGGAGAGAGGAGAGAGAGAGAGAGAATTTTTAATATTTATTTTTTAGTTCTCGGCGGACACAACATCTTTGTTGGTATGTGGTGCTGAGGATCGAACCCGGGCCGCATGCATACCAGGCGAGCGCGCTACCGCTTGAGCCACATCCCCAGCCCATTCCTATACTCTTAAGACAGGGTGCTATGCCCTCTACTTCTGGGCTCCTTACCAGATGATATGTTATTCTTTGCATTTATTCCTATAGCTACACTACAGATTCCACCAAGGCAGAGCCTAGTTGTTAATTTTAATGCAACATACGTGGGATAAGAATTATGTTTCTTTCCATTTTATAGAGAGGAAACCAAGGCCCAGGGGGTTGACATACAAAGCCTGAGACCACAGAGAATCTTTCACAAAATTTCCCCTCTTCTTTTATTGATTGATTTGTTTATTTGGTACTAAGGATTAAGTCAGGGGGTGCTATACAACTGAGTTATAATCACCGGCCCCTTTTATTTTTTMTTCTGAGACAGGGTCTTGCTAAGTAGTCCAAGCTGGCCTCAAGCTAGCAATCTTTCTACCTCAGCCTCCTGAGTAGCTGGACTACAGGTGTGTGCCAGCATGCACAGCCTCCCCTCTTCATAAAAGGTTGTGAGAGAGCTTCCTGAGACTCCTATTTCCACAGATGGCTCTCTCCCAACTTTAAACTCTGCCATCACCCACATACACCCATACACTTGACTATGAATCCCACGATATGGGGTGAAGCAACAAGCATATCCCCAAAGCCCAGCACACTATTTGGCACATTGCAGATACTCAATACATGTTTACTGGTTTTAGATTTGAGTCTACCCCATCCAAGGGCAGAGGGGTACAGGGGTACTCATTTCTCTCCCAGAACTGAGCCTTAACTTGGGCCCACTCTGAACTCTGACACATTCCAGGCCCCTTCTGGGAGAAAGATCATCCCTTCCTGCCTAGGTCCTAAGGAGACCTGCATCCCAAGACCCACTCCCTCCTCCCTCTGTGTGCTCCAGCTGCTGCTGGCCCTCCAAGAAAGGAGAGTCTCTGAGCCGGGCTATTTTGGTATCTGGGGTGGGCACCCGCAGGGCTAAGGTTACCCTGGTATGCTAAGGGCTCCCTGGGGCAGGACTATATAACCCCAGAGGGACTACGCCAGGCTGACTCTCTGCTTCTTTCCAGCTGGAGCCACTGCCTTGCCCCCAGGAGACCTAAGACATGGTGAGTGAGAATCCCCAACCCCTGGCCAGATCCATTAGACTCAGGGCAGACTCACCCTTTGGAAAACAGTAGCAATTTTCTAATCCAACAAAAGATAAAAAAAAAAAATGAGTCCTCACTTCCTTGGTATCACTATTGAAAAACAGATAAAGTGATGGCCTTAAGGATCCAACCAATGCTAATCTGCCCAGATATTCCACTCTTAGGTTTCCAGGCCCTTTCAAAGCCAGCTCCATCACCTCCTGTACTCCATCTTCCTAAAGTTCTGGGACCAGCCAGATGAGGATTCTCACTCCCATTTTATAAATGAGAAAGTAGAGGTTCGGACAAAGAAAATGAGTGGATCAGGCCCAAACAACAAACCAGGAATTGAAGGATGCAGGCTGGGGGTAGTCTGAAGTGAGAAAGCTTTTACCTATTGGGTAGGATGGAAGTATGGGGACCCAGGAGCTGCAGATGGAAATTCAGGGGATACAACTAAAACAAGTCCCTCAGCCAAGAAGTCCCAAGGGAGGGAAAAGTTACTTTAGAAGAAGGGATTCAAGGATCTCTGAATCTAGCTGGGCATGGTGACATAAACCTGTAGTCTCAGCTACTTGGTAGGCTGAGGCAAGATTCCTTGAGCACAGGAGTTTGAAAGCAGCCTGGGTAACATACCCCTGTGTTATACATGCTTACTGGGTAACATACTCCATCTCAAATAGCCAAACAAAACAATAACAGTGAACACTGGATCTAATCCATTGCCTGCCAGAGAGGTCTAGGGACTGGCCAATGGACCTCCTTGTCCAAACTTCACCCCTCAGGCACCTAAGAAGGCCAAGAGAAGGGCAGCAGCAGAGGGGAGCTCCAATGTCTTCTCCATGTTTGACCAGACTCAGATCCAGGAGTTCAAGGAGGTGAGTAGGGAAGGCTGGAAGCTGAAAGCTGACCAAAGGCACCCCTGCCATCACCCACAACCCCCTCCCTGGAATGTGCACCTGTTAGGGGGAGGGAAAAGGTTTAGAATTCCTTCTTCCCCTCCCTGCTTGGGGTGGGAGAGAACAGCTGGCAGGAGGCCAGAATCTGATATGTCTGGGGTGGGGATGCTGAAGCCAGGCCATGGGGGAACTCATCTCTCCCCACCCTGCCCTCCACAGGCCTTCACTGTAATTGACCAGAACCGAGATGGCATTATTGACAAAGAGGATCTTCGGGACACTTTTGCAGCCATGGGTGAGTCCCACAAATACTCAAGATGGTGGTTGGGGGAGGGGAAATTTTCAATGACCTTGGGTTCCAACCCTATCAACTCCATCTTGGGCTTCAATCTATGTTGTAAAAAATGGGCGGGACGGTCTAAATTTATGGGAATGTACAGCCCTTGCCCCAGGACCCAACTTCCACCCCTGCTTCCCCGAACCCCCTTCAGGCCGCCTCAATGTGAAGAATGAGGAGTTAGATGCCATGATGAAGGAAGCCAGTGGGCCCATCAACTTCACTGTCTTCCTGACCATGTTCGGGGAGAAGCTCAAAGGTCAGTGAGGTGTCCTGGGTCCACGGCCCCAGCTGCCCCTTCCCAGACCTCTAGGGAACCTCCAGGCTCATGTTCCCCCTGACCCCTCAGGTGCCGATCCCGAGGATGTGATCACTGGAGCCTTCAAGGTCCTGGACCCTGAGGGAAAGGGCACCATCAAGAAGCAGTTGTAAGTAGCCCCTTTCAGTTGCTCCCATCCAGAAAGCCAGTAAGGGAAAAATAGGACTGAGCAATAGGATTACATTTCACAGCAAATAGTGGGGAAGGTCAAAAGCAATCGGGGAGGCCAGAGTGTTCTGGAAACCAGTGAAAACGAGGATAAAGTGAGAGGGAGTGGACAGGAATCAGGGACCCAATCTTAACTCCTCCTGTCACCTTTCAGCCTGGAGGAGCTGCTTACCACCCAGTGCGACCGCTTCACTCCAGAGGAAGTGAGTTGGGGAGTGGTTGGGAGAGGCTATGGGACGGGGGAGGGGGAGCACTGGGACTGGTTCGAGATGCCCGTGCGTTCTCCCGCAGATCAAGAATATGTGGGCAGCTTTCCCCCCTGACGTGGGCGGCAACGTAGACTACAAGAACATCTGCTACGTCATCACGCACGGTGACGCCAAGGACCAGGAGTAGAGGATGTTCTTAGGCTTCTGGTGGCCTAGGCTTCCAGCCAGTCCGTCCCACACCCCGATTCCCAATAAAATTCAACTGGTCTTTGTTTCTTATGGGCGGCGCCTTGTGTTTCTGTGAGAGGGACTCAGGTAGGAGGCTGGGCGGAGACACTACCCAGCAGGAAGGGAGTGTCCAACAAATGAATGAACGGGTCGGAGTCCGCGGGGGAAGGCTCCACCCCCTAGTCCGGTTCCCGCCAGTGAGAAGACTTGCGTGGCGCCCGGGAAGCTAAGTTTTTATTGGAGACATAGTTTGAAGGGGGGCGACACCCCAAGGTGGGGAGAGGCTGGCAGGAGCTGGGCTGGAGGCCGCTCCTGGAAGTGAGCCCAKGGCGAAGTGGGGGGCGGAGCTACAAACTCCCGGACGGGCTGAACCTTTAGCCGCGAGAACCTACACAAAGCAAGTGCAAGAGTGGGCAGGCGTGGGCCACTCGGAGGCTCCGGAATTAGAGGCTGGGCAGTCTAGGGCCCCGGGATTGGACAAGAAASGGACCGAAGGCGGAGCCGAAGTAAGGTCAGGCCGGGCCGGGCGGAGGCCTCAGAGAGCGTCCGACTGCTCGCCCTGAGCCTGGCTCTGCTGCATCTGGGCCTGCATCTTCTCCAGCATCTCTTGCATGCGGCGCAGCTGTGTGGGGCAAGATTATTGGCAGTGAAACCCGGAGACGCCAGGGAGGGACCTTGAAGAGGATCTGGAGCTTTGGGTGGAGGGGAAGCGAGGTGCTTGCTCACCTCTTCGTCCTTCTCGCGGATCAACTTCTCCGTCTCGGCCAGAGGCAGCATGGGCAGCGGGATCTCTGTGGCGCTCTGGCGGGAAAGTTTACTAGAGGGTAGAGGGAAGGGAGACAGGAATCAGGGACGGGATCTGAAATTGTAGGTTAAGGCCGGAGGAATTTGACTCTAGGAGGCGGGGCCGTGTCTGGGAGGTTAGAGTCGGAGGCCAAGTGGGTGGAGAAAGAGAGCTAGGGGGTGGGGTGGGGGTGGGGCCGTGGATAGGGAGGCGGGGTCAAGAGTGGGAACTGTGCAGTCTCGAACGGTGCCCCAGGAGTGGAGATTTGGAAGCATCAAAATCGTAGGTCCTGGTTCTCACCTGCGGCTGGTTCGATCACGAGCCCCAGGCCGGGCTAGGCTCTGTAGGCAGCGGGCCCGGTAGCCCTCGTAGAGCAGATCGTGTGTCACCTCTTTCAAGTCCTGCAGGTGTGTCTGCACCAACATCCGTCTCAGGTTCAGGAAGTCGCAGTGCTGTGGGTTCTCCACTGGAGGGCGGATCGGTGAGCGTCAGGGAGTTTCCGGTCCAAACCCACCCTCAGTCACCCGGGAGTCCTGCTGCTGATCTAGCCAAGGATCCTCAGTTTGCAGCCCAAGTATCCCTCTTTTGACTTTTAGGAATTCCCAGGACTTAGAACCCGCCCCAACTTTACATATTGGGTGCAGCTTCTGCTTGCTGCTGGCCTCAGAACTTGTGTTTGGCCTYACCCTCCACGGTCCCCCAGGAGTAGCGGCGTCCCCTCACTGGTCGGGTCCCACCGTCCCTCACCACCTCGCATGAACCGACGACTGCGAAAGGGATGCTTCCCTAGAGGGCAGGGATCAGGAGTCACCGTGGGCTACTTGTGGGCAAAAACCTCAGCCTCCATCTCCACACCTAACCTCTGCTCTGCCCCTTCCTCCTCTTCCTCTCATACCTTCATCTCAGCATCCTGTCTCTTGAAGTCTTCATCCTCATCAGAGTCACATTCTGGGAACTGGTAAATATTGATCTCCTCCTCCTTCAATTGGTCCCGTATCTCAGAGAAGAAAGATGCAGAGAGAGTGAGATCCACAGGCCATGAATGACAGACATTGCATGGCCAGAGACAGTGAGATACAGAGACACCTGGTAATCAGAGAGACAGAAAGATGGGAATGACAGAGATGGTGAGAGACAGACATACAAGATAACATAAAAACAAAATCAAGTCACAGTGATGATAAACAGGATTCTAAACAGACCATGAAAGACCTGAGAGAAACAGTAGTTTAAGGCTCTGAAGAGCTTAGGATAGGAGATCATCAGCATCACAAGGCCAGAGGGATGTCAGGGGTCATCATGTCCATGCCCTTGCTCTTAAGCCTTTGCTGAGTATCTAGCCCTGGGGCTGTATATCCAGCCTGTCACCATCCAGGGATTGAACCCAGGGGCACTTCACCTTGCCAAGTTATGGGGATGAGAAGTAGTGCTTTTGGCTTTGGAGTCGAGATCTTCCTGCTTCAGCCTCTAGTGTGACACCAAGCCCTGTTTCAGACTGGCTTGTGTGTGTGTGTGTGGTGTTGGAGATTAAACCCAGGGCCTGGTGCATGCAAGGCAAGCACTCTACCAACCGAGCTATATCTCCACCCCTCAGACTGTTTTAAACTTCTAAAGACATGGCTACTTTTGGCAGCTTGCTGCCCACCTTTCCCGAAAACTCTCCCACAATGTTCCAAAAAGACTACCCCAAGATCAAAGAAGTCAAAGCTGAGATCGGTCATGACTTTTGGCTTCACTTGGGGCCAAGGACACCACGCACACCTTCTGCTTGAGGGCCTGGGTTTCCTTGGGCATCAGGGCATCTGCTTTGCCGATGACTGGAATGATGTTGACTTTCTCGTGCACCGCCCGGAGGAAGGCCACATCTAGGGGCCGGAGCCTGCACCCCAAAATTAATCAGGGCCCAGTCCCAGGCGACAAAGCCTCCCTCGTACCCTCCCCAAGGCCCCCAACCCTTAGGATCCCCCTTCAGACCCCCGGCCGAAGGGTGAGATGAAGTAGAGACAGCAGTGGACCCGGGAATCCTGGATGTTCTTCCGGTTCAAGCCACTCTCGTCCCTGAGATACTGCTCAAATTGCTCCTCAATGAAGCGCACCACAGGCAGCCAGCTGGGGTATGGAGAGAGGACATGTGTCAAAGATCAGAAGCCACAGGACAGGCAAGGAGACAAGGCTTGCCGAGGTTATGGGGATGAGAAGTAGTTCCTTTGGCTCCATCCATATATCAAGGGAAACTGGTGGGGGTGTTGGTGTGAAGTTAAGAAGCATACTTTGGGCCAGATGGCTTCCAGAAACAGGTGCCTCATTTTGAGTCAGGGAACCAGGTCAGACCAGCCCTGCAACTGTCCCCTGGGCCTCCACACAGTAGCTGCTTTGAGAGGCTCAGCCCCTGTCCCTTTCCCTCCTCCTCACCAGTCTGAGCAGTCCACAGAATCCCCAAAGCCAGGTGTGTCCACCAAGGTCAGCTTCACCTTGACGCCCCCCTCTTCAATCTCCACACCCCTGCGCTCAATGGTCAATGTTTGTGTCAAGCGAGCTGTGGGGGCAGGGARAGGACAGAGGATAGCATAGGGCTCAAAGCAAGACTAATTTCCTTTCCCAGTGTTACAGTTGCCCCATCCCCTTTTCAAGGGAGGAAACAGTCTCAGAAAAGCAGTGGGCACTGAGTGAACTTGAAGGAAGAATGCAACCTAGGGAAGGGGGTCAAGGGCACTGCCTGGAGATGGCAGCAGGATCTTACCGCTAGCCTCTGGCACTTGCCGATCCTCATAGAGGTTGGTGAGGAACAGGCTGTTGATAAGGGTGGATTTCCCCAGACCTGACTCCCCTGTGGACAGGACAGGCCAACTGATGAGATGAGGGGACAGCCAGGGTCTTCTGAAGACACCTCCACCCCAAGTCTCTCTCTAGAGCCTCCAGACCTGCCACCATGAGTGTGAAGTCAAACCCCTTCTTRACGGACTTGCGGTGCAGCTGGTTGGGGAGCGCAGCAAAACCCACATACTCCTTGTCCTGTTGGGGGTGGGGGTGAATAAGACTCCTGAGAGTGGCAGGCAGGACCTCAGTATCACCTGAACCCAAAGACTTGGAAAAGTCAGCCTATTATGGGTCAACCCGGGTCTGGGGACTGTGTGGGAGAAGGGGGTTAGGCTGGGGATGCCTAGCTTCCTGGGCACAAGGACTCACCATGGCTCCGCTAGCTGTCTCTGCACCTGCTATCACTCCCCACTTCCTCTGGTAGGGCAGGAAGTTGAATGCAGCAAACAAGGGGGCGGGCAGTTGTAAGAAGCTGAGATGCTCAAACCAGCCCAGACCAGAGAGGTGGGGAAAGCCAAATCCAGGAATACCTAGACCCACAGCTTCAACCCCTCCGTTCTCTACATGCCTTTATTCCAAGCCCCTTTGTCACCAGGGTGCCAGGTGAGGTATGGGCAGGGAGGAAGGAAGCAGGCTGCTCTCTTTAGCAGGTGTGACAAAGTCTTGAATCAAGATAACAAAAATGTTCCTAGGGTTTCTGATGGACCAAAACCCATAATGGGATTAGAAGTAGAAGGGGCTATCAGATAATGGTGCACACCTGTAATCCCAGTGACTCAAAGGCTGAGGCAGAAGGGTAGGTAGCAAGTTCAAGGCCAGTCTTGCAATTTAGCAAGACCCTCAGCAACTTAGTGAGACCCTGTCTCAAAAATAAAAAATAGGGCTATGGTTGTGGCTCAGTGGTAGAGCGATTGCCTGGCATGTATGAGGCACTGGGTTCGATCCTCAGCACCACATAAAAATAAATAAATAAAGGGATTGTGTTCATCTACAACTAAAAATTTTTTTGGTTTTTTTTTTTTTTTATTTTTTTTTTTGAGAGAGAGAGAGAGAATTTTTTTTTTTAATATTTATTTTTTAGTTTTTGGCGGACACAACATCTTTGTTGGTATGTGGTGCTGAGGATCGAACCCGGGCCGCACGCATGCCAGGCGAGCGCGCTACCGCTTGAGCCATATCCGCAGCCCATAAAAATATTTTTGTATGTGGTGCTGGGATACAACTAAAAATATTTTAAAATATAAAATAAGGGCTCGGGAAGAGCACTTGTCTAGCATGCTTGAAGCCCTGTGTTTGATCCCCAAGACCACCAAAATAAATAAATTATATATATATATATATATTATACACACATATATGTAAAATTTAAGATAAAAATTCCTGGGAATATAGATCAGTGGTAAAGCACTCCGACATTTAATACCCAATGAAAAAGGAGGAAAAATTACAAAGGGGCCCCAGCACCATAAAACAAACAATATTGAAAGTAAGGGGCCATCAATTTTTTGGCTCATGTATTAGACTTTTTCTCCTTCTGCAAAGCTGGAGATTGAACCCAGGACCTCACACACTAGGCAAGTACTCTTCCACTGAGCTAGAACCCATGGACTTTTTGATGTTTTTGGTGCTGTGGATCAAATTCAGTGCTAAACATTGAGCTCTACCTCATTCCCCTAATAGATTTTCTTCTTAGTTGTTGATGTACCTTTTATTTAATTTATTTATTTATATGTGGTGCTGAGAATCGAACCCAGTGCCTCACACATGCTAGGCAAGTGCTGTACCACTGAGCTACAACCCCAGCCCCCTTAATAACATTCTTAAGGACTGGGGCTGGGGCTCAGCAATACACACTTGCCTGGCATGTGTAAGGCACTGGGTTTGATTCTCAGCACCACATATAAATAAATAAATTAAATAAAGGTCTATCAATAACTTAAAAAATATTTTTTAAAAAAACCTTAAAAGGGGCTGAGGATGTGGCTCAAGCGGTAGTGCGCTTGCCTGGCATGCGTGCGGCCCGGGTTCGATCCTCAGCACCACATACAAACAAAGATGTTGTTTCCGCCGAAAATTAAATAAATAAATAAACCTTAAAAAAAATAAAATAAATAAAAAACCTTAAAAAACACTCCAGGTCTTTGGACACCACTGTCAGAGAAAACTTACTTCAGAATTTTGGCCAAAGAACCCCTTGATCAAACCCTTCAGAGACTCCCCAGTGACCTCAGAATCAAATTGGAGCTCTGGCCTGGCAGACAGTTTCTGCCACCAGTCTTCATCACTCCATCTCAGTGGCCCAAACATACTGGCCCTGCCCACATTTTCTGTACCAGGGAAACACCTCTTCCTCTTTCAAGGGGCTCTGCCTCCTGTACAAAATCTGCCCCAGCTACTCCAGACAGAGTCCTTCCCCTCCTTTAGACTCCCCAGCACCTTTCAGAGGCCCCTAAAAACCCACATGTAAAGGCTAGGACTGTAGCTCAGTGGCAGAGTGTTTGCCTAGCATGTGTGGGGCACTGGGCTCTATCCTTAGCACCACATTAAAAAATAAAATAAAATAAAGGCATGCTGTCCATCTACAACTATTTTTTTAAAAACATTTTTTTAAAAACCACCTGTGCTTACCTGTCTCTGCTCCCAACTGAGCTCTCTGAGGGCAGAGATCATGTCTTCCCAATTTCTGTATTCCCCTGTGTCTTTAAAAAGATACTGATGAATGATATACTAGATGCATGGATTCTTGAAAGAATGAATAAATGAAGGTCGTCAGAGGCAAAGGCTGGGGGACTGCAGGACACGTAAAAGGCACCTCRCCTGGAAGTCAGAAAGAACTCCCCAAACCCCAATGCCTAATATTTACTTGGTGTACAAACTTGGGCAAGTTACTTAACCTCTCTGAACTCCAGTTTCCTTGTGTAAAATGAATTACACATATTTAAGTTTTGCTATCAGAATGCCTGTGAGTGCTGGGGGTGTTGGGAGAGGTGGCAYATGCCTGTAATCCCAGTAGCTTGGGAAGCTGAGGCAGGAGGATCAGGATCTTTAGTTCAAAGCCAGCCTAAGCAAAAGTGAGGTGCTAAGCAACTCAGTGAGACCCTATCTCTAAGTAAAAAACAAAATAGTGCTGGGAATGTGGCTCAGTGGTTGAGTGCCCCTGAGTTCAATCCCTGGTACCAAAAAAAAAAAAAAAAAAAAATTCACCCAGATCTTCATGTATATATCTTTTTTATCTCTCTTTTTTTAATGGTCCTGAAGCTCAGACTCAGAGTTCCACATGCTAGGCAAGCACTGAACCACATCCCCAGCTGCCCTGTGTTTACTTTATCCTTACTTAAAGTTCATTTCTAACACTGTTTCCCTTATGTAACCATAGAAAAGTTGCTTCTCAGTCTGTGGGTGTACTCTGGTAGAATGCTTGCCTAGCATTGCTAGGTCCTAGGTTCAATCTCTKGCACCACCAAAAAGAAAAGAAAAATTGCCTCTCTGGATCTTTCTCTCACAGGAACTTCCTTGTAGGTTTTTCAAGGTACATATGACTATAGAGACGTGCAGTTATTTAGAATTGTGTGACCTTACTAGCTATGTGACCTTGGATGTCTTACTTTAACTTCTTGGTGACTCAGTTTCTTCATCTGTACAACAGTACCATTAATAATTCTCCCTTAAGCTGGGCTCAGTGGTGCATGTCTGTATTCACAGAAGCTCATTTGGGAGGCTGAGGCAGGAAGATTGTAAGTTCAAGGCTACCCTCACAAATTAGCAAGACCTTGTCTCAAAATATAAAATTTWAAAAGTCTGGCTGGGGGCTGGGTTGTGACTCAGAGGTAGAGCACTCACCTACCATGCTTGAGGCACTGGGTTTGATCCTCAACACCACATAAAAATAAAGATATTGTGTCTCCCTATAACTAAAAAAAAAAAA